GGGGGGGGGTTGTATAGAGAAGGGTAGCTTCCCTATTGTTCTTGCCAAATTATAAATTGAGTAATTAGTCTAGGTATGAACAATTCTCTTGTCACCATTCCCTTTTAATACCTTTAAAATTAATGTTGGACTCATGAAAACTGCAAGAACTGTAATCCTGGAGACCAATGAATTCTATTTTCAAAATAAATATTTACCTAGTATTTACTAGGTACAGGTGGGTTGTGGTGGTGCATACTTCCCCCACATCCGTCCACCACTGTATCTCAACCATATGCTAGAAAGCTGCCATTTCTGTGCGTGAGTAGTTTATTCCCCATACCCGTTCAGTGCCTGGTCCATCTCTGATAACAAGGGGACCTATTATGGTGAGGATAGCAGATTTCCTCTGGTTTATGGACCTAGTACTGCTGTATCTAATGCTAGGTCTGTTTAAATTCCCCTTCCCCTCTCCCTTTATGGAATCCAGGTCTGGTCTTTACTGAATAGCCACTGATGAGATAGCACTTTGTCCCTATTTTAAATTGTGCTATAAAAGGTATGCTCAAATCTCGTCTCCCCACGCTGCTTGCCTGCAAATTACATTTGCATTTTCATCTCTGCACCAGTTTTCATTTTTAAAAAATACCTCACAATTTCTCTGGCAGAGGAATGTAACCTTCTTGCCCTCTTAAAGTTCTGATCTCTACCCTCTGCTACAAATCAATCATGCACAAAGTTCCTGGCTATTATGAAAAACCTAGAATGTTCATTTTTGGTTTAGTTTTGAAATCTTTACAGCTGTTGCTCTGCAGCCTATATGATCAGGCCTGCAGGACATTACTCCCTACCCTTTCTATTAACGTTAATACAGTAAAACTAAAATACAAAGCAACCCACTTTTCCCATAGAACAGGGAGTTCATAGTCTATTGAATGCTTTACCTCTAGGAGAGGATACGTCTTGCTTTTCCTTCTGAGCAAGCCGCTGGAGAGCTGTCGTGGAAGCTGGAATTACTGCTGCGTTGGATGAGGGTCAGTACTCCCCATCTCCATAGGAACTGCACAACAAGCTACACCTTGGGCTCCCAGCCAGAGCTTGACTCAGGCTACTGTTGCCTTGTGTGCCCCTCCCCTAAAGGGGAAGGACCTATGGCACAGCTTCAAATCTCAGTGTGGGCTCACTTCCACTAGACTTGCAGCTGCCCATACACCGTCTAGTGACGTGGCCATGGAACCATCTCTTGCATTCCCACTATAACAGACCCTTTACCCCACATGTGGCAGTGACACAGCAGAATTGGGCTGCAGCAATCCTGAACAGAAGGGAACGGCACTGGTATGTCCCAGCGTAGGACAGGCCAAATGGAGAGCAGCATAGTTGTACCAAACTACAGCATAGCACCATCCATCCAAACTAGCGTACAATGGGACAACCTACCACTATTGCAAGTGAGTCAGAACTAAAGGTCAGCATCTCTCAGCTAGGGAAATCTTTCTGAGTTGGGAACCGGTGGGTGGGCACAGCTTTTGTAGAACTAGGTAAGATTATCCTAATTGTAAAGGTTGAGAAACTGGAACACAAGTTAAGGAACTTCCCTGGGGTTACAAAGCCAGTCAGTGGCAGGGTAGGACATATAAACAAGGTTTATATTACTGACTCCCACGATGCTGCAATGCTAACTACCTTTATCTCATTCAAAGTGTGCTTCAGAAGTGTAATGCTTTGAGGGGCACAAGTGAAAGAGCAGGATATTTTTTAAGCTGCTCCCCAAATCTCCACTGTTGATCAAAATGTTGATTAACTTTGTTTGCAGCTATACAGTTAAACAGTAATCATTTTGGCAAGAGTTTTGTTTTGAGCTAATAACTTATTTGTGGCACCAACTACACAACCTGGAATTTTGCCTAGGATACGGTAACTTATTCTTACGCTGTAGCTTGCCCACAATAACAGTAAATGTAAGTGAAGTAAAGAACACCCTAGTAGAACCAACTCCTTCAGGTGACATCAACTATCTTATGAAATATTGATTTTCTTGTTGCTAAATCTTTGCTACTTGAAGTCTGAAGAGACACTGTTGAAGTTGACAAGCTAAAAATCACAACCATCTCCTTTTAAATATATGTATATTCTATTTCCTCAGCTCTCCTGCAGTAGTACATACTACTTGAAGACAGAGTTCAAATAGTTTCTACGTAAAAACACTACACTCCTGCTTGCAAAAAGTTTTAGAGCTAAAAATCCTATGTACAGCCACTGTCTAGTTACTAGCTGACCAACGTATGACAAAGCCTTGGGTACACTTTCTTTTGCTAGTGTGGTCAGTGTATTGTGCTCCCAGTTCCTCTCCACACTGTCTTGGGAGCGGAGTAGTCTGTTCACAACCTCCCCAGAAGACATCCATCAGATTAGGAGTTAGGGATCTTCCGTGGTGGCAAACTCTTTCTAAAAAGTCTCACTGACAAAGGGAACTGTGAAGTAAATCACAGTGGAACAAGGGAAGTTTGGGGGAAGGACTTTACTAGAAATCTGATGGCTTAGTGTGGGATTTGGGCTTCTAGGTGGGAGAAGGAAGGGAATGCCAGTACTTTACTTAGAAGGTGCAAGAGTTGGACTTGCTTTCAGTGGGGATTATGGTATCTAAAGCCTCCTCCTCACAGAGTTGGAGTTTCTGTTTAGAACTTTAGGGATCAGACAAAGCTACAATTGATTCAGAAGGAAAGAGGGGGGAGCTCATGAGGCAAAGAACTGTGTTATTTCAATGAAGGTCTATGGAATCCTCTTCTCTGAGTGGGGCTTGCACAGAATTTGAACCTTTTCTCCTCTGTCCCAGGCACTAGTAATATGGATAGATCAAGAGCTCAAAAGACCCAAAAGGGAAGGGAGAAAAACTTCACTCCTGCTATAGAACAAATGCACACAAAAATGGAATCTGAATAAACAGTTTAACTACACATTAGAACAAATGCATCACTGAGTGCACATTTTCACATGCCCTGGTAGAAGTTTTGAGCCATCACGTAATCAGTCTTTGCACAAACACAGGCTTTCTCTGTCCATGTTCAAGAAATGTAGCAATTTGTATGGGATTTGGGCTCATGCTGCTACAAGGCAGGAGCAAAGATTCAGCTTGATTGTATGAAAGGAACATTGTGTGGGGTAGATTTGTGCTTGTTAGCTATGGGCCTGCTTTGTCAACTGTGAATCTATCAGTACAACATCTTCAGTACTGAAATATGTATCGTAACGTGTGCTCCACAAAACCTGCCTATAGAAGCACTTTTTAGGAGCAGACCTCTTGTTACTGGGCATGTGTTGAAGGTCAGTGTTTATTGTTGCAGACTCTCCCCACTCCTGAAATAACTAAAAATAGGGAACAGTCATTAACCCCCCAAAAAGGGAGACTTTACTAAACACAAGGTGTCACAAGTACTCCTGTTCTTTTTACTAAACAAAAAGTTAATGGAAAGCAAAGTAGTGTAGAATGGATTTATTATGGAGTGACAGTGTTTAAGTATTGCTGAAAATTCAAAATTGTCAAAACCAAATGACATGGACTTCCAGTATGTATTCCAATTCTAACTGGGTGAAATTTTAAAGCGGTTGACAGAGCAAGGGAAAAAATTGACTTTGTAAAAATTGAGACCATACAAGAACTCTTTCTCTGACCATAATTAAACAGATGCTACACTTTTTAACATAGTATATGGCATAATTTAATGGTGCACAAAACACTCTAAAGAGTGTTCAGATTGTCTACATACTAGGCAGGAAGGCAGCTACAAAAAAACTTCACTGCTAGCTTTGTCAAAATTGGAGTAATGTTAGTGAACATATAATATGTACATATATAAATCCAACAGATATATGAACAACACTGAGAATGTACTTTCAAGTTTTCCCCAAACACTTTATATTAAATAAGGCATTAATACAAAGCATAGCAGCACACCATTGCAGTTAGATCAATAGATTCCAACCCTGATATATCGCAGTGCTCAAATCTGCTAACAGGAATGTGTGAAAATAATCACTTGCATTTGCATTTTAATTCTTTGTTGTGGAAAATGAGTAAGAATCTAGATTCCATTGGAAAAATAAAGACATGACTTCTTGGAAAGGTCTCTAAATCAAAAAAATCTACACTTTTAGCTGGTGGAGGTATTTGGGATATCTTGTGCATCTGCTAAATGAAGTTTTTGTCTGGAACAAAGAGTTAAGAAATTAAGTTTTCATATGCTAACACGAGAATTTACCTTATGAATATCTGTATTATACCGATATTTAATGTTTGTAAAGTATGACAGATTTGAGATGACATAAAAGAACAAAATATTACACATGGCCTGACATGCTGGAATATCAATACACATTGGATGCAATTATACACAAGATCGAAGTTTACATGCGAGAGGGAAAAAACAGTATCACAAGTCATCTTAGTGCTAAGCACAGTCACCAATTTAAAAATAAATTAATCCTCTTCTGTTTTATTGCAATTACAAAATAGCCTGATCCAAATATTTTCAATAAAATGCAAATAGTAAAAATGAAATACATATTTAATATTTTCCTTGCCTAAAAAAATAAGTTTAAATTTAGAGACTATTAACAAATCTTAAATGGGAAGTTTGAAAGAATGGAGGCGTGCAGGTATCTAGAAGGGCACAGCCCTGGTCCTGTGCATTTACATAAGAAAATGTATTAAATAAGTCTCTTAGAATACAGACCATTCACTATTAATTTGAGGACATCTGAAATCCTCATTAAAATACTATCCTTATATTAAAAGATGCTAACTCAGATCAGTTGCTTATATAATTAGAGCCCAATGAAACACAGACATTTTAGAACCACTCTTTCTGACGAGGGCAGGAACAGTTATGCCATGAATTTCCGTAAATGTTGTAACATAGTAAATGAGTTATAGCAGGGGCTGTTTTCACTTAATATCAGTAAGGTTGCACAACAGTTTCCAATAAATCCTACTCAAATTCCAAAACATACACCTTTGGGACTGAAATATTTCACACTTGGCCTCTGGCTTGGTGAAACATTTTGGAAAGTTCTTCTCGCTCTCTCTCATCTACTTATATCAGGGGCGGGCAAACTTTTTGGCCTGAGGGCCACATCAGATTTCCAAAATTGTATGGAGGGCCAGTTAGGGGAGGCTGTGTCTCCCCGAAAAGCCAGGCGTGGCCTGGTCCCCACCTCCTATCCGACACCCTCCCCCTGCTTCTCACCCCCTGATGGCTCCCCCTGGACTCCTACCCCATCCAACCCCACTGTCCCCTGACTGCCTTCCCCGGGACTCCTACCCCATCAACCCCCTCCATTCCCTGTCGGCCCCCCCCAGTACTCCTGCCCCATCCACCACCCCCTGCTCCTGTCCCCTGACCACCCTGGACCCACTACCCCTGACTGCCCCATCCAACCCCCCTCTCATTCCTGACTGCCCCCCCAGGACCGCTGTTCCATCCAACCCCCCTGTTCCCCGCCCTCTGACAGCCCCGAACCCTATCCACCCCCCACCACCACCCCCCGAACTCCTCTGCCCTCTATCCAACACCCCTCCCCCCCACACCACCCCTTTACCGCGCAGTGCAGAGCACTGGTGGCTGGCAGCATTACAGCTGCGCCGCCCAGAGCACCGGGTCAGGCCGTGGCTCTGCAACTGCGCTGCCTGGCCGTCCAGAGCGTTGCGCCGGCAGCGCGGCGCACTGAGGCTGCGGGGGTTGGGGGGCAGCATGGGGGGGGCCGGGGGCTAGCCTCCTGGGCCAGGAGCTCAGGGGCTGGGCCGGATGTGGCCCACGGGCTGTAGTTTGCCCACCTCTGACTTATATGGTCCTTGTTACTGTTGTATCTGAGCACCTTATACTCATGGATACATTTATGATCACAACACCTCTGCGAGGTAGGGGAACACTATCATCCGCATTTCACTGACAGGGAAGTGAGGCACAGAGAGATTAAGTGACTTTCACACAGGAAGTAGGTATCAGAGCAGGGAGTTAAACAGTGTGTCTCAAGTCCCAGGCTGATGCCCTAACCACTGGACCATCCTTCTGCAATGGTTAGGAGGCTTACAAGAATGGAAATGACAACTTAAGGTAATGCATACATTAATATAAATGTAAGTTATTTAGCTGGTTATTTGCAGCTGTTAATGCTTAGGCATTTAACGGTAACGCTGCAATTCTGTATTTTGCATATTTCAGTGATCTATGTTATAAGTTTGTGTGCAAGTTTCCTCCTTTAACAGGAGCCTTAAAAAGTGTTGTGGAAAACTGAAGAATATTAGAATTTTTTTGCCCTAGTATCAGCAGGACAGAACTCCATTCCTGAACACTTTAGGAGGCATATTATTATGCATGGTTGCTCCAGAGTTCCTAGCCAAAGTGGGTAGTTTATATCAAGGTCTGCACTCAACTGGCTAAACAGTCTTTTTTCTGAACATGTCCAGTCTAAAATTTTATACTTCAGCTATGACAATTTTAGATATCTGTGTCTGATGTACCTTTTTCTTTCAAAGTGTAAACAGAAATAGTTAATGAAGAAATCTTTAAAGAAATAGCCTATTCACAAAGCTTTGTTTAGATCTACAGCAACCTACACTTTGAGTGTTACAGGAAAGCCATCTGTAAGCTAGAGGGATCTGAAAACATGACATACTACAGCCCTGAATTTCAAAAAGAAGCACTGTTAAAATCCATTTTAACTCTCTTGAGCTACAGAACACCCGTGAGATGTATTTTCTGGAAATCTAATAGTATAATTTTGGTTCTGATCAACTTTTTATTGCAAAAATGTTCACCAAAAATGACATTCAATAAAAAGGATACATAGAAGAATTCAGTTCTTCCAGCTGCAATATAAATGAACAAAGTATGAGAAAAAACACTGTAGTTATAATTAATCAAGTAAACATGTCAATAATACAATTATAAATGGTACTAACACATATTTAGGGTCTGTTGCAAAAAAATTAAACAAACCTTTCATGATAGTACTGTAAGTTTAAAAGCAAGTGTAGCTCTACACTAGGAAGTTTTGAGAAATTAGACTTTTTGGATATTGAACAGTTTTCCTGTTTATCAAAGAGGGCACCAGAGGGGAAAAAAAAAAATAAGTGATAAATTTAGAATACATAGGTCCAGATAATTCTCTCTGTCTAGTCTCTGTTAGGTGTGGCAGAGTACAGAAAGAACACAGGGAAGATGGTCCAGCTCGCTGATGCTCAGGCTGGTTCTACATCAGCCTAAGCTCTGAAACAGTTTGCAGGATCTTAAAGGAGGCTCTAAGCTGCACAAACTGGTAGAGGCGCCACAAGGAGTAGTCTGAATAAGAGGGATGGATAAGGCACTTGTATTTCCTCAAAATTAATACTGAGGAAGTAGAATCCTGGGCAGATATGGGAAATATCCTGGGTCATTAGAGTCACATTTTTCCTCAACACATTTAAACCTAAATTCCTGAGACCCTAAGGTCTTCAAGTTGTATAGAAAGAATACCACTGCTGGATCCTGTTCTTGAACCAGATCTAATTCTGTGAAGCAACTTCAGTGGAAGACAGTCTGTCTTGACTATACTTACATCTGATAGCAGCCTATCCAAATTGGAGTCACTGGCAAGTTTTCTTTTATCTTCAGGAAGTTCTTCCAACTCCCCATAGAGTTCCAAATTCAAGCGAGCTAGTTTCTCCTGCATCCCCCGCACATGTTCCATCTGTTCTATGGAACACTCATTTCCTGAACAAAGCAGATTGTAAAGCTGTTATGTAAGAGTCTGACAATGGGGTAAGGAGCAAAGTCTAAGCTACTGCATGTATATCTTAGATGGATTTTCGTAGTAGAGGGAAAAAAGT